TTAATTCTATTTGCCAAATAATTATGCCAGTTCCAGGTAGGTTGAAAATAGCAGTGAGGGGCGCTGGGAAGGTGGCTCAGTGGCAGAGCACTTGCCTTGCATGCATGAGCCCCTGGGTTTGATTCCTCAGCACCACATAAGCAAAAAGAAAAAAAACCGGACGTGGGGCTGTGGCTCAAGAGGTAGAGCGCTAGCCTTGAGCTGAAGAGTGAGGTATAGCGCCCAGGCCCAGAGTTCAGGCCCCACGACCAGACCCAAAAAAAGAAAGGAAGAAAGGAAGAAAATAGCAGTGAGGGAGGTGCTGGGTTCAGTGGCCACGGTGGAGAAGGCCTTACTGATGAGCTATTTGTCCCTTAATGTCCTTCCTCACACCTGTTTCCTTTTCCTCCAGTGCTGTTGGTGCTATGTTTGTAGTCTTTCTCCAAGCAGATGTAAATACCTGTTTTTTTTTTTTTTTTGGTGCATTAGGGGACTCTGAAGTCCATGAAATCATAGTTTTAGGTGTTTGCTCCATAGTACTTCAGTCTTTAGAAAACAGAGCAGAGAGAGACAGACAGACAGACAGACAGGCAGACAGAGACAGAGAGAGACAGAGAGAAACAAAGAGACAGACAGAGACAGAAGAAGAGAAAGAGAAAGAGTCTATGTGTGAGTGAAAGTATTTATAACCTAAGTGTCTATACTAAGGTCAATTTTTACTTTTATGCTTTTATTAAAACAATAAATTTAATACAGGATGTGTTTTCCCCACCCCTCCCTGACATGATTTAACTTGTTCAAAGTTTCTGTTTTAAATTGTGGATCAAAATATGTCTCAATAGACTCATTAAACTATCTCATAATATATATGTATATTATCTATATGTATAATTTATTTTGTGGTAGTACTGGGTCTTGAACTCAGGGCCTCTTGTCATTTTTGCTCACATCTAGCTTTCTAGTAGTAGAGCCATGCTTCTAGTTCCTGCTTTTTGCTGATTAATTGGTGATAAAGAGTTGGGGGGGGGATATGTCTGCCTGGGCTAGCCTCAAACCCCAATTCTCAGATCTCAGACTCCTGAGTAGCTAGGATTATAGGTATGAGCCATCACTGTCTGGCTCTTTTATATTGTTTTGACTGAATCTTCTTCCTTTCTGAGGCTAAACCAGTGAGTGGGATATGATGGCTGATTCTTACAGAAATGGACAGAGATTGGCTTCAGAGTTGGGGAGTACCTATAGTTTGTGATAGTATACTTTTTTCCATATTCGAACCACACTTATATATGCATCTGTATGTGGGGGGGGGCAGAGGAGAAGGAGACAAGGAAGGGAGAGGTGAGCGATGATGAGAAAAAGAACTTAGATTTTGTGAATACAAGAACAGCACAATGGTAGAGTACTTGTCTAGCATGCACAAGGCTGTGGTTTGATCCTCACTATCCCACTAAAAAATCAGCTTAAGGGTAAATCTCTTGATTAATTATAATTAAAATTACCTAGAGTTGAGGAATACCTCTTACATTGTTTCAAGTTATATCAAGTGGTAATTGTGGAAAGAATGGATTATAAGTAAAGACTGAGCATATTTATGATTCCATGAGGCTGTCATTATTGATCATTTAATCTGAAGCATAAGAATTTTCTGTTACTTGAGGTTGAAGACTCAAAAGTAGAGGAAGCCTGACCTGTACTAGTTGATTGAAATGAAGTATCTAAGTTGATATCATTGTATATAGTCAAGGCATATTATGATTTAAGAAAAATTTTGATCTTATCCTTAGTTATTACCTAAAATTCTGATTTCTATTTTAAAGTAATCACTTTAAGAATAGGCAACTTGAATGTTTAAATAAAATCACATTTTCCACAGACAAGATGGACTCCTTCCTGTTTCTACTTGCTGGTTAGTCATAGTGGGATTTGTTTGGCTTTTATGAATGCTATTAAATTTTAATGTACAGATCAGATGTTTTATTGCAGAAAAAAATGGTGCAGTGTCTGTTCTGGCCCTATCATTTTACCACACAAGGGAACCATTAGTGGAAAATCAATTTGATTCCTCCCAACTTTTTCCATTTGAGGTTTTTTTTTTTGTTTCCTTTCTCCATAATGATTATTCCTAGCATTTTTTTTTTGAACTGAAAAACTTCCATAGTAACTGGGTCCTTGCTAATAGATGTAGTACTGGAGTTCTATGATGATATGTTTGCTTGCCGTAATTTTGTCAGGATTTGCCTCTGTGAGGTGAAAATGTTGTAAGGAAACTCAGTTGGGAGAAACAGAGAAGCCACCACTAAGAGGCCAAATTATGAGTCGTTATTGGAGAGCCAGAGGACTGCTGGTGTTTTCTTGTCACAAAGACCAACAGCAGCAAATGCAGTTAGCACAAAGTTTATATAGGCCAAAACTACATAAGGTGTGAGGAATTAAACCTGACAGTTGAGGACACTTAAGCCTAATAGAAGTGTTAAATAAAAGCAAACCATCTAGGAAAACAATCAGGGGAAATCAAGGGCCAGTTATCTAGGGGAAGCACAGACCCAGTCTCCTTACTTCAAAAATTAATTCAACAAGGGGTTGGGAAGGTGGCTCAGTGGTAGAGCGCTTGCCTTGCATGCATGAGGCCCTGGGTCCGGTTGTGGGGCCTGAACTCTGGGCATGGGCACTGTCCCTCAGCTTTTCAGCTCAAGGCTAGCGCTCTACCACTTGAGCCACAGCACCACTTCCGGCTTTTTTTCTTTTTGCTTATGTG